GGGGGGGGGAACACCAAACACCAAACCCAAACAAAAACCCACACAAAACCATCACAGTAGGTAGATCCTAAAAAAACCCACAGAATTCAGTAACATTCTAAAAAAACAAAACAAAACAAAACAAACCCACAAAAAAAGCCCACCACACCCCCCCATCAGTAGTGCTTCAAGCATCAGGAGTCACCCTGCTCATACACTTGTCTAAAAACAGGTAGTCCCAAGGAATGTTTTAACAGTGCTGCTGTACATCCCATCCTGCTCCAACCCACAGAATTACTTTTTTCTCCCTCCCCATACTGTATGAAGGCTTTATCCATCCCACTTTTTCCATCGCTTCAGCTCACTTTGAAAATATCTAGTCTCTTCTTCCTTCTCCGTGACTCCCATTTCAGAGCACTGGAACTGGCTTGTCTTCTCTGCAACTTGCAGTTTCTAGTCGTACAGCCAAATCCCACTGGAGTATTTCAAACCTCCCACGTTTTCTCTCCAACAGAACGGCTCTTTCAAGTGGTGCTTGGAAGTCAAGCTGTACAGCTGAAATAATGTCTTCGGGTAAATGGCCGTTCCACCCCTTCGTAAAGAACTCCCCGTTACCGAGCCACGCACCACAGCTATTGCTTACGTGAGGCCAGGCAGGCCCCTACGAGATGCAGGGTTGCTGATGGACAGACACGTGATTTTAAACAACTAATTTTTTTTTTTTTTAAAAGGGTATGTAGTTCCCTGATAACACTTTTAATCAAAAAAGCTGGTCTTCAAGACTCGGGCCGTAATACTTACTTTTATCTATGTTACACACAGGGAACATATTCCTGCATAACTGGAAACCAGCTTATTTTATGGTAACCACAATGTATTCTTCCAAGATTTATTCCCAAAGACGAGTTACAGGAAAAACAAAACCAATGTTTAAAAATCCATGAATAGTCATGTGATAACTTTCAAACAAACAACTTTTCAAGAAAATGAGTCAAAGCATTCTAGTGAAAGTTGCACAAACTACTGGGATAAGCTTTCAAGAAATAACCAACACAGCTGAAACTGCTAAACTCAGAAAAGGTACCGCCACACTGCGCGCCTCCCCGCTGGCTGCTGGCAACAGGAACAGCACAACCAAAGGATGACCAAACCACAAGCAGACATCCAGACAGAAAAATAATATAATGCCGTCACACTAACGTTCGTGAAAACAAGCTGTCTCTTAACCTTTTTACACTGACTGTCCAATCACTCAAAACAAAAGGGGACAAAAATTTTAGAATAAATTTAGGTTGTTCAGTCACCTGAGTGGATGAACGTGAATAAAATACGACCAAAAAGCTCAAAGGAATTTCATGCCTTCAATGTCGAGTCGAACGAACAGGCAAGGACAGAAAAATGCTGGTCTGTCAAGTTTCACGCACTGATTTTAAAAGCCTTCATTTCATCTTTTAAGGGCCACTGGACGGGTCTAACATATGAAGGCATAAAACAGGCTTACAACCTCACAGCCGTCCTGTATTTACCCATCATGCCTTAAGTGCATTAACAACCAATTTGATCATATAAAAATGAGAAGACATGCTGTAAGGGCAATATTCTAAGCACTGAAATTCCAAAATCTTAAATCAACACTTATTTCTTCATTCTCATGCTTGGCAAAATGGTTTTCAAAACGTACATAAAAATGGCACCGAGGATAATGGGGCCAAATAACCCTCACTAATATTTGAGGGGGTTTTGTACTTTTTTTAATATCTAGTACATATTCTGTAAGTCAACATGGTAATAGCTGTGCCCACTGAACCCACAAAATACTTGACATTCAAGTGAGTCTGGGTTCTCCCTTCCTATGAGACACCAATACCTTTCTTAACACCTCTGTCTTATTTCCGTGGTCATGAAGACCAAAATTAATCCCTGCTGCAGTCTGTCAAAGTGACATGAGGACATGCTAAATGTTTAAAAGCAACTGCCATGATTCAGGAATCCCTTCAAAACACTATAGGAATCAGATATATATACACATCTGTGCTGATTTTAGCTGGGATAAAATTAATTTTCCTCACAGTAACTAGTATAAGGCTATGTTTTAGCTGTGCTGAAAAAAATTTTTACAATATACTAAAGTTCTTAGTAGTTGCTAAGCAATGTTTATGTCAACTCAAGGACTTTTCCAGTTTCTGATACTACCCATATTCCCAGCTTCCACTCCGTAAGAAGCTGGGAGGGGACACATCCCAGCCAGCTGACCCCAACTGACCAAAGGGACATCACATGCCATCAAACGTCATGCTCAGTATGTAAGTTGTGGGTAGTAGGCTGGGGGTCTCGGTCACTCTCTCTCAGTGAGTATCTGTGCTGTCTTGCTGGATCTTGGGCCTCTCAAGCTCTGTCTCTGCTCTGGGACTGGGCTGGGCATCAGTTGGCAGGTGGTGAGCGGCTATATAATTTGTTTTCCATTATTTTCATTACATATCATTAATAGTGGTAGTATTATTTTCATTACATATTATTAGTATTGTTAGTATTATTAGTATTGTTATTTCATTTCTTTTCAATGATTAAGTTGTTGTTATCTGAATGCACGAGTCATCTTTTTCCTCCAATTCTCCTCCCTGTCCCACTGGTGGAGGGGGAGGTGAGCGAGCGCCTGTGTGGTGCTTAGTTGCTGGCTGGGGTTAAACCACAATAACATCCGTATGCAAAGATACCACAAGATCCCAGAACATCACCTTCCATTGGATCGCTTGCCTCCCGAAACAAAATATCTCCTCAGTACAATTAAAATTTTGGACACCAGAAACGAGCAGCAAAGCAAACCTTATCTTGAACTATACTGACAGTCCCTGGAAGCAGCAAAGCAAACCTTATCTTCTTGAACTATACTGACAGTCCCTGGTTCATCCCCAGGATCAGACAGCGAGGGCCACTAAGCAGGCTTGCGTCACCTTAATCTGACAGCAATGGCCACACCGAGGCTTGGTACTACGCTGAGAATCCATCTCGCTAATGGGTTTTTCCAAATATTTGCTGTCTGTAGAGGATTCGAGATTCATTAATGGACCTTACTCTACAGTATCATACCACCAGTGTCACATCTAATCTAGTTCATTTCTTCCAGTACTTCCTTCTCCAGCAATTATTTTCTTTGCACACCTCTCCTTTGACTGCTGTGTTCTTATTTCTAGGAACCTAGTTTGGGATACATTCATCAAGGTTCCACCAGCAATTTCAATTCCTTTCCGCTGCTCCATTTCCTCGCCCAGTCAATCCCTGGGTTCCTTCAGGTACTGATGCTCATTTGCCCTCCCATAGCTTCCCTAAATTCCCCAGTACCAACCTAGTGACATTTTGCTTATAAGCATTCTTTGTGTGTCACATGGTATCTTTCTCCAGGCTATCTGAAGAAATCCAGAAATTAGAGAAAGAAAACCTGTGTTTTCAGTAAAGAACAGTATTTATACCTGTGACAAGACAAGCTAAAAGCAGCAATAAAGAAAAATATAAAAATATATATTCAACACAAGGTGGAGTCTTCCAGAAGTTAGCTGTCAATACCTAACAACTCTCCCACCAGACTGTTAGAAACCTTAGCAAGCCCATCCAGTAAGGGGCTTTACAGATTTAACAGTCATAAACACCTAACTATCCCTTCTCCAGTGTACTGGGAGACTTTGCTTCCCGGTACAAACGTGCAACACCTTCACACACAAATGATTATGGATTTTTAAACATGAGCACAGCCTTTTCCTTCTACCCTTATTTTCCAAGCGAGGCAAAGGTTTGTGGAAGCCTCCACAGTCACACCTTCCTCAAGGAGAGTTCTGAACCGGAGCATTAACAGCAGAAAGCAGCAGTCAGCTTTCAGAACAGCTTACAACCGACAGCACTGAAACACTGGAGGATACACAACGAACCACAGTGGAAAGGCAGCTTCAAATTTCTATATTCTAAAAGGCAGACTGGGTCAGGCAGAAAATAAGGAAATTCTACAGTAAGCGCCAGCAAGACAAAACACATTAGAAATACTTTCCAAAGCTTTTGGAAAGATACCAATAAAGGCCATCTCCTCTCCGAAGCTTTATTGGACTACACTAACCACAACAGCAAAACCAAATGTTTGCCTAGGACAGAGATAAACAAATCAAACCACATGCCTTGATCTAGTCCTAAAAAGCACACAGTGCCCCTCCGAGTGCCCACCTACACTTCTAACTGCTCTTTAACAAAACCAAAACAAAACCCAAACCAACCAAATATTCCGAGGGTGTTTCATTGGTAAGAACATGAAACAAACACTTTACTCTTAATACATATGTATCTTGCTTAGGTACTAGAGACCTGTTGCAGTAAGACAATTTCAGAGCAATTGTATTATAAAGACAATTCTTTTTGTCTTCAAAGAAATACTAAAATTTCTTAAGTATTCTTGGAATTCAGAGTATATTTTGCTCGTGAGTCATCTTATATTCCAGGCACCAAGCGGGTAAATGCCTTACTACTCTGCCTCCGAAGTTCCCTCCACAGTAACTTGTACAAACATGGTTAAGCTCACATTTCAAGTTACTGTGAATACTCAATTCCCACAAGTTTTATGGTGTAAGTACCAAATTCTTACAGAAGGCTGCACTTTACATTCACAGAGTTATTCTAGAAACTACGTAGTTTTTTTCTGTTTGAGGAACCAAGTGTGTTCTCCTTCTTGCAGCTGCTTTATATAAAAAAATATTCTTTGGAGTTAATATTCGTGGAGCCTTACAGGAGTGCTAGGGCATTAAACTAAAAATTCAGCATAGTAGATTTGCTAAGTATTTGTGAAATAGAATACGTGCCACAGAAGAAACTCTGCACAGCGCTGATGGGCCTGCCTTACTAGCCCAAAGCAAACCCAGAAACCTATGTGCTCAACAGCTCCAAGTCAAAAATCCACTACAGTATATATTAAGCTGTCCCTCGGGGGATTTCTGCATTTTCCAGCTCACATTATGTCCCAACATAAATAAAATGAAAACTTCATCCCTTGAAAAGAGGAGGTTCAAGATTAGTGGCCAATGTCTGCCAGACACTTTCACAAAGAGGCCTTTAGGAAAACTTGCCTCAGCTTTCCAAAAAGTAGAGTTATTCTCTCAGGCACTAGCTTGCAAGCACTGCTCCTCTTTTCACTGCTTTTGCTGTCAATAAGCAAACAACTAAACAGCAATTCTTCAGGTCAGTATGATAGAATTTTCCTAAAGCTCTTCTTACATTGAACAGACCAAGGAACAATGTGCCACCTTTTATCATGTTGATCTCGTGAGGGAGGTTTCAAATTAGCTAACATTATCTCCATGTACCGTTAACAGTTACTATGAACTCAAATAATTTTGACCAAATATATCAATGTGTAGTTGTATAAACAACATGCAAAGCAACATCTTCAAGCTTTCCTTTCCCAAATCCACTGACAAGGCAACTTTGAATAAAACTTGCCATACTAGCACTTTTAATTAATAGAAGGCAAGGTTTATAGGGAGAGAGAATATCTTACAAGACACAGCTGGAACAAACAGACAAGCTCTTCAATCCTGTCTTCAGCTCTGAAACAGAAGCAGCAAATTCCAACCCAAGCTCAGGCCAGGAACAATTTTTTTTTATCTTAACTTGATTAAATTGTCAAAGTGCTTAATTTTTAAGAGAAAAGGATGGTTGGTCCTGTGGAGCAAAAGGGGAGGTAAGCAAGAGGAGATAGTTACCTATCTACAGATGGTAGTCACCCCTCCCCCAAAAAACTTAAGATGGCTGGATTGAATTGTAGGGGAAACTAAAGGTCCATTAAAAAAAACCCAAAAAACAAAACAACAAAACAGTAATTGCTGAGTCTGGTTTCTGATACTCAAAAGAAATCAGAAATTTCAACTCCTAGGTTCCTCCTTTTAGGGTATTACTTACAGCTCCTCTGACATTCACCACTACCATCAATTACAACTCAGCATGCTGAGGTACTGCCAAATGGAAAAATGTGTGTAGAAGTGCTGAAGCTGTTATCTCATTAATGCATAGATTAATTCAGGTCTAACTCACTGGCTTATATGCCACACACATCTTCAACACTATCTAACAAAGCGCATTAAAATTTTTGCTGTAAAAGCTCAATCAAACCTGTAGTGACAATATGCTAAACGGTTTTCATTACATACTTAAGCCCACGAATATGAGCTACACAGACTGAGAAAAGCTTACATTGATATTTTCTAATTGCAGTAGATGTACTGTGTAGTAGGATTTGATGTCTTCAGATACTAGCCTCACACGGAAACCCGTTTCGCTGAACGTCATAACTTCCTCTTCTTTTGTTGGCCAGTATTGTGCACACTTCACCTAATCCATTTTTTAAAAAAGGAGAAAAAGAAGATAAAAAAAAAGAAAAATCTGGTTAAGTATCCTAATATCTTGGGCTTTTCATGAGCAGATACTAAGACCCCCTTACTCAGTACAGTAGACTCAAGTACCTGTTCTCAGTTTGAGGAATTCTCAAAGTCCACAATGTTTACAACCAAGTTACTAAAACTGTTTCAATGGCTATTAGGCATTCTAGCTTTACCTGTGTATGCTTTCTCTCACCACAGGGCTAGCACGGTTTGAGATGTACCTTAACCCTCCTCCTTCTCCCCCCTCTTCTTCTCCATGGTGAAGAGGTATCTTTACACAAGTATTTCAACAACTCTTCCCCCCTCCATTTTGGATGTGCACGTGTACGTAACTGATGCAGCACATCCAGTTTTCCCAAGGCTTGCTGAATACTGGAAGATTCTAGCGAAACAAAAGGATGAACTAGCAAAGCAATGCAAAACTGCCCCTTATTCCTCTTGCCCTGCACTCAAACTTCCTGTAAGAAAATTTTTGCAAAAGAGAATAAGTGACTTTTTAATGGACTAAAATCTTTTTCACTGAGAAATCTACTCTGAAGAAAAACCATAAACCTCAAATGATATGCATTTACAACTCAAATCCACAGTGGTTTTAGGCACATTAGCAAGAAAGCGACATCATAACAGAAGATATGTGTATTCTGCATGTATACCACCAGCTATAAAGAATCAAAAATAACTAGACCAGTTTGAGAGCTGGTGGGCAGCAGCTTGTCTCCATTGTTACAAACAATTAAGATCACTACATAACAAATATACCACTCTCTTAGATTCAGAAGAAATAATCTAAAGATACTTTAATTCAAACTGGTTTTCCCACCTTTCATGGTGTTCTAGAGCATCTTACACTGCTTCTACTTCATCATATTTCAGTCAGTACATCATGTCACTATCAGATTTCTGGATGTATGTTTATTAGATACAGCTTTCACCAAACTGAATTTTGTGTCTTAGCTCCACCACTGTAATCCTATATTAAACACGTTATACTGTATGCCACTGTTATGTTAAAAGAACTAACAGGCTTTCTCAATGAAACATTGTTCAACTCTATTAAAATTCCTTGCCTTACTTTACAACGTTAGGCCTAATCTTACTTACCGATCCTTTTTCAACAATTCTGTTCAGCATGACAACTGCTTTGGTTTGTTGTTGCCACACCATTAGCCAAAAATGACAACATGTATTAGGTAGTGGACCCTGTGTAGTGAAGAAAAAAAAAAAAAAAAGGGATGGGAGAATATAGGAAAAGCAGTGTTTGAACACAGTTAATTGTCCACTGTGTGAAACAGGAAAAAGTCTTCCTCTGAAAAGTTCAAACAAATTTTTCATAGAAGGATAGAAGTGACAGGCAAGAAAGTAACTTCACTGCAACAGATCACTCCAGTACTTAAAAGTTTAAAAACAACCCCAAATAAATAACCAAACCACAACCAAACAACAAACCAGTAAGAACTCAGGCATGGGATGTTTCAGTTTGGGCATCCGTACTATTGTGCCCTTAGAAGAATGGCTACTGCAGGCATGCCAAGAAGGTACAAGATGAAATCAGGGGTAAAAGAATTCTTGCAACCTACTTCCAAAGAACTGAAGAAGAGAGCAAGAAATTCTTGGAAAGCTTTATATGCAATAAATTCATCATACTTAATATTTCCTTCAGCTTTTTCTTAAAATATAACATAATGTGTTCACAGCTAGATCAAACAGGCAGTGTGATGTATGTAACTCACAGAGACAAGGAACCATCCAAATACACACTATGACTATACAAATCCCCCTCTAGACTGTCAATCCCCATAACAACCTAGTAATTGGTACTACTTACCTGGGTTAAAATATAGTATCTCTGGGCTTCTTCTATGACCACTAGGCTGGCGTTGATATAGTCATTCTCAGTGTTCTGCAATTTTACCCGACTATGATCATCTAAAATTCAAAGAAAATAAGAATTAATGATGTATCCATTATGATGAATACTCTCTTAATGGCAAGTTTAGTTCTGACGAGCAACTAGAAATAAATTCTGCAGTACTAACCAAACAGCAGACTGCAACTATACACCTAACTGATTTCTCATGTCATTTTTATGTCTGCCTGTCTCCTTCTCCCCTCAGCATTCCAGAGTAATTTCAGGCAGCTATTAATAGAAGCTGCTCAGAAAACGGCAATACCTAGTTATCTTAAAAAAACCAAAACAATCCTCCCTCACATGCCAAAAAGACGCTCACAGCCATCCCTCAGCAGTTTTATTTCCTTAACATCACAGCACCGCAACCCACGCTAGGCAGCACTCTGTACTATCACACCAGATCACTCCACTGCGTGGTTTCCTTTGAGTTCAGAATTCCAAGCTTTTGGGTGAAGTTTCATAGGTTGAGGTGGAATTGTAAACTTAAACACAAACAGTTTCCAAAAAAAAAATCAATTTCCAATAATCCACACCAAGCTTTGATCAATTTAATTTTCCAACTTTCCCTTAATTTATTGTTTTAATACTATACAAATAAAAATACCGAAGAAGGGGCACATGCAAAAATGTACCTATTTAACAAATTTTCGAGTTAAGACTAATCTAATTACACAGTTTCAGTCTCTCACAGCTACCTAGGCAAGACAGAAGATTTCCCTATTTATGGCAGAGGCAAGCAAAGGACTGTGTTTAAAATTATAACATTAATATAAGAAAGATTATCGGACTGTCACACTAAACCACTGTGTAATAAAAAGTCACTGTGGCTGTTCCTAGAACCTTTTAGTATCTGATTTATCACCCTCCAGGAGACATTCAGGCAATCAGCCTTGTTCACAGTAAGTAATCCTTCCGCCATCTATTAGAACTGTATTAAATAAACAGCATTTTTAGTTTAAAATCTGTACACAATTTCATGCCAGGAAACGAGATCCAACTGACTGCAAAGGCTCAGCTGCCTAGACAGGCAGTTTATGAGAAGAGTAAATAAAAAATAGCAAGTTAAAAAGACTTCAACACATTTCAGGAAGAGATGGGAGAGATTCCATGGAGAAACTGACAATACTGAGAGTGAATTACAGTGCAATGCCAGTTTCTAACCTATGTTCACCTGGTCTAACCCACAAAACACATATGGGGTGCCGACCGCTAGCACAGGTGCCATTAAAATGTAAGCCCACTTACATCTCTTCTCCCATCTCCACACCAAAAAGCTAACTTCCTTTTGATAAACTTATTGAGAAATGCACAGAATCCATGAGTTCTGACATAAGCAACTACCAAGTATTGCGTTCAGTGCAGCTATGGTATCTGAACTCAGACTGTCCCTATATCACAGCCAGTCTACACAGCACAAGGCTTATCTAAGAAATCCGTGAATATGACCCCGGACAGGCAAAAAGCTGATGGGAATCAAAAAAGTTACTGATCCTTGTTCTATGGACCGCTCATATGATTTTATAATATGCTGAGAGATATGGTTTAGTGGCAGACAGATACGGTTGGACTGGATGATCTCTAAGGTCTTTTCCAACCTAGTGATTCTATGATTCTATAATACTTTCCATATGCCCCGAAGCCTGGGAAAAGTATGTTTACTAGGTCTTGAGCTACCTATATACGACCCCTCACCTACCTGCTATTGGCAGCTGTCAAGGAGGACCTTGCTGTATTCAAGAAAAGTAGTCAACAGTAAATCACGGTTTTTTGGTTTTTTTTTTGGAAGGACTTTGGGGTTGTCACCCACCTTTAGCTGTACGTGACTGCACGTAAAGGCTAGCAAACACGCAGAGAACAGAGAATATGCTGAAAACCTATTTTTAACACAAAAGTATGAGAAAGCTACTGGTTGAGTCTGTTTTCATTAGCATTCCAGCTGTAAGGCAACACCATCTTGACTTTCAGGAGTCTTAAAACTGATTTATGATACATCTGTGTAAAGAAAAAGAAATATTTTCAAATCCCAGACACAGTAAACTTAAGACGTGTGCATTTAAAAGTAAAATATATATCTCCTCGCACTGTTGCCTGGATAGGAAAGTGTTGGTTTTTCCTTTCATGTATCACTTTATCTGAAATGTTTCTCCTGGAGAGAAACCAAGACCTTTGTAAATATTACATGTCATTTGCCAACAGGAAAAACTTAAGATCTTGTTATAGTAAATCACACATACCGGTACTAGTGTTCTCGGAAAGATGACGTAAGCAAGCGCAGTTAACAGTTTAATCACCCAGCAGCAGCTACGGTATTGCTGCCAGCAGGAGATAACTGCTGAGGCACTAATGAGGTTTCCTACTGTAATCCTTAACACATTTTCAGCCTTATTTTTTCCTGCTTATAAAGTCTGCTTTGTCAACTTGACAAATACAGTTCTGGAAGTTTTTCCTAAAAGGCCCTTTAACAACTAATTCTATGCACAGCCAGCCTGCCTCCTCCCCTCCAACTAAAAGAGAGGTGATCCTACAAGTACACTGGCACACACTCCACAGGACAAAGACAGCCACTAGAATATATTGATTTCCTTTCTTTCAAGGGACAAGGTTCCTAAAGGACACAATGACCCAGAAACCTCATTCAAGCCCTGGCTCGCTCTTCTCTGCTAAATGAAGCAAGCCAACTTTTGACAGTGGGTTAGGTATAACATATTTCCCATATGTAAATCATTTCCAGTTACAAACTACTTCAGATTTATATGAATGATAAACCTATCTTAAATCTTATCTTAAATGTTGCCATGCCCACAACAGCTAAAATATAGTACTCATTTTCTGAAGTGCTAATTCCCCTATTTCAACAAGCTATGCAATCTGAAAAGGAAGTGGAAACCTTAAAAACGCTTCTCATTCTGGCTCCTGCGCTAAGAAAACTACTAGAACCACCGCGCCTGAGATAAGCAAACTCTTATTACCCATTTCAAGTGAAACCCTGTTCCACTGATATCACTGACAACACCTTCCGTGTCTCAAATAAGGCTGAGACTCCACACTACACATCAATTCGTCCACTCACTGATAAAAAGAAAATGTCGTATCCAATTAAAGCCAAGATATGCTTTGTTTGGCATTTTACATCATCCAGTTCTTGCAGCTGGCTAACGAAAGCTTTTTATTTGAAAACAACTATGTTTCTAGAAGTGAAAGCAGTGTATAATTTAAAAATTATCTTTTATCCAAGCAATGTCTTTTGATTAAAAGATGTCTCCAAATACAGAGCAATATATTAACAACAAAGGAGGGGTGAAATGCTCTTTAGCGGAATAAAGAAAGCTGTAAGACATGCAGCCATAAGCCATACCCATCTGGCCCTTTCCCGCCTACCAGCAGACCCCCTTCGTTTCACTAACCTAAATCTAGTCTATCTGAGCTGCTAAATTATTCAGACTATAGTACTCCGTCACTAGACCTCTAGTCTCAAGTCTCAGAGGTAGCCTAAGGCAAAGGAAAGGCAAAGTGACTTTTCCCTTCGTTGGCACTGGCTGTACGCAACAAATACCATCACATCAATCACGGCCTATCTCACGACTGAAATGTGTTCATACTGAAATATATGCATAACTACTGCACAGGACCCTTACACTCTTAAGCAGGACTGCGGGGAAAAAAAAACCCAACCCACATACTATAAAATTGAGATCAGTATGTGCTCCAACCCCAAAGAAAAGTAGTCTCTCCAAAAGCAGCATGTTGAGTTTATTTATACCGTGTTTCTGATAACAAGACGTTTTAGAGAATCATTCAGTAAAGTCATAAAAAAATCATCACTGTCAGCTTCTAATATGGACAACAGTAAGTGCAGCAGGCTTATTTTGGACAGAACATCTCCCTGTTCTCAGCACATACACTCAAAACACAGGAAAGGAACATTTGTGCAATGATAATTAATCAACACTATGTACAAAACCATCCACGTCAGCTCCAACTCTGATCCCTGTAAAGCACAACACCCTTCACGTTCCTCTCTCCCGGCATATACTCCGTGACAACTCTAAGCGTATGGCTGAAAGGTCAACACCAAGTCTACTAATGGCCACAGGATGAAACCATGGGAAACCACCCCCTCTCAAGACCCTCCAACAGCAAAACAATCTACCAGGCAAAAATGTTCGGATGACCTAAGAAATGGGGCTACACACTGCATGTAAGGAAGGCTAAAGGTGAAACTGTGTAAACCCCCATCTACTCTCCAAAAGCAAAAGAGGGGGATAAAAAAGAATCCTGCTAATTCTGCAGAGGGGATTTCCTTCTTGCCTGTAAATCTGGGAAGACAGTAAGCAGATCTCTAAAGGTGTTTACAGTCAATCTGAGACATGACTCCTCTGATCTCAACTATGGGTGGAATTTAGAAGGAAAGTAGTAACAGAAATCTTAGTGTTTCATTAAAATTATCAATAAAGAACAATAACCTTCTAAGTTATTTTCCTCTTAACAATGTTTTCTGAGAAATGGTTTCATCTGTCAGGAAATGACTGGCTGTCAAACCAAACCTATTTCAGATTAACTTCCTGTTTCAATACTACCACATAGCCAAAATATTCCTCTCCCTGTTGTAGAGTAATACCAAACTGCCAGACTGCTATTTATTTTGGCTAGGCAGTAACTCTTGAGGGCTTTCACCCTACCAAACTTATACACAGCATAGCTCTTCAGCCAACGAAACTGGACCCTAACAAAAATACTTATGAAACTGGAGACAATGTGAAACTGGGCTGTAATGGGCAAAGACGATTAGATTTCCCCAGCTAACAGGAATCAACTTTTACCTAGAAACGTATGTAACGGACACAAGTTGGTTTCCATGCGCATGTCCTGGGTATTATGGCTGAAATGGGGCAAACCAACCCAAAGCATTTTTTCCTGCACTTGTAATGGACATCTTTTCTGTAAGAGAGGATAATCTTTGCATTTCCCCTTGCAGACATACCACCTCAGATTAGAGACTGGCTTGGCCACTATCTAGATTAACAAATCATTTTCTCACTGCTACAGAGAAATACAACATTTTCATCAAATTGTGTCTTACACTATGTTTAAGTAGCTAGATGTTAAAAGTTTAACTGCTAGTTCTGAGGGCCTTTAACAATAAGAGAACATTATCATCCATTTTTCATTTAAACAGTTACAGAGCAGTAAAATTTGCAAAGTGAAGGACTGTGGTGTTAAGATGGTGTAAGACTGAGTTGTCTTGCATTCCTCCAAAGCCAGTTGCTTGCGTACACATACCACAGTTAGCTGTGTTCACCACAGTGACCAAACCACACTGCTCTTAACCCCAGCTGCTTTGAAATTTAGGTACTGCTATCTTGGAATGTTATTTATCATATATTCTCTTCCAGGTCTCTTTGCTCTCCCAGCTCTCACCATCACTACAGAAACAATTATGACTCACGTTTGAAAACACACAGATGTAAAATCCAACAGGAATTAGTTCAAACACGGTGTTTCGCTCTGTTCTCCTCACACAGCCTTGCTCCTAGTGCCCAGTGCAGGCTATCTTGGTGGCCCAATTCAAACTTTCTTTCCCTCATAAATGCTAAAAACTAAGACATGCCTCAAAGTTCACTATCTTAGTTCAGTCATCACGTTACGCTTCACGTCAACCAGCCTGTAATGACTCTAAGCCTTTCCTGAACCCAACTACTACTTCACGACTAGATTTTGTCTGCCTGCTCTTGCACAGGGTCCAAGGATTAAGACAACCTCATCATAATTTCCTCCTGGATAAACGAGCATTTCAGAAGCAGGCTTTGCCATAATGAAGGCAGAGGTGTTTGCGCTCTTCGCTACAGTGAAAGGCATGCCACAATTAAGGAAAATTTTGAGCTCAAAAAAATACAGGAGATGACTATAACTCACACCTCTAAGGTATTATTGCAGGCATTATTATATGCTACTTAAATAACACAATGTCTTATTTATTTGCTTTAGAAACACTCTTAAAAAAAGAAAACACACAAATACGTTGAAGGTAAGCTGCCATTCTCTTTGCTGTAGTGCCCAAGAAATGAAATCCACGGATGAGAGGAATGGTAAATGCATGAATGCAGCTTCTGCCACAAAAGTCATACAGGATATTGGACCCAGGAATAGAACTCAGGTCTCATGGGTTCAAATCCAATTTCCTGCCTTCTCACAACCCCCATCCCAATTTAGGTATGAGACAGAAAGGGAATAAAACACGACCTACTTTACCACCGGTAAGATGCTAATGGTGTGTTGCAACAGGAGAGAAAACCTGGGACACCTCTGTATAGAGCAACACAGGTCCAGCAGAGGCCCATCTCCCTTTGCTGAGCCTGCAGCGGAAGTTAGTAAGCCTTGACTAACTTGAGGTATCTTCTCCAGAACTGTTCGTTTCTCAGACAGACCACACCAGGGAACGCCACGCCGACACAGCAAAGAGCCTGTGCACTGCATTCTGCAGTTCAGCTTCCCCAGAGTGCAGCACTGAGATTCAGCGCTAAGCCAGACCGGGTCCCCTTGGTGCGAATACACGGTGCAGGTCAGCACCCTGGCAGCAGCCTAGCCATCAGCACGCAGCACTGCATCTGACCAGCATGACTCAACCCGACACCCTTTCCGTCTAATTTTGAGAAGTGCTCTGCACATGCTGGAACCGCAACTTTCAGCTGGAAACAAGGAGTTCAGCACTTCTGCAAATCTTACCATAGGTACTCACATGGGGCTCTTAAGGAGCCCAGATACACCAGCAACACTTCAAAAATTCTAGATCCAGTAACAAGAAGGCTTTTAGAGCCTTCAGTGCTCTGGGAAACTTTGTACTAAGGAACACACAAATATTTAACCTGTTCCAAACTCAATGTTTTGTAGAAAAATTAAGGCTGTACTGAATTCTTTTCCTAGTCCTTTTAAGTGACTTATGACAGATTTCTCCAGATATAACTACGTACTGGCAATGTTTTGCTCACCTCTTTTCATAACAATTTTGGATTACAGTTTCTAAAGTAAATGCTGTTTAAAAGAAAGTCCGTAACACTTCAGCAGCAAAGCTGGTGAAAAAACAAAAAAGGCCATGTTCACGTGAGATCTAAGATCATTATGTGACAAAGACCGTTTTATGGCAGTTAGTAAAATACAAAGCACTCTATATCTACTTGTATTGAGAAAATTAACAAACCACCTTATGCATACATTCTTCTGAACAGACAAAAATAACAAGATCAAGTATTTTTTTAAAGCAACAGTAGAAATCCAGTGGCATTTATCCACACCATCTTATAAATGTGCAGAATCACTTAGCCCAAAAGGAAACCGTGTTAGTCAAGGCTTATTAACTTGATTTCTGTGCTCAGCAGATGCTGATTTTTTTTTATGACCGACAGAGCAATATTAAATAAATAATTTCCTTATGAAAAAAGTATCTTGAAAATATTACTTTGTAGCTTACAAACATTTACCTATATACCAATACCTATGATTTGCAATCATATCTCCTTCACCGTTCAGCACAACGAGTTTAACCTGCAGACTCTTCTCCCTTCTGTTACAAGCATTTGTGTATGTGTTACAAAGAAACCATTTATCATAGGATACATGCCTACAGAAACAAACAAAATACAAAACATACAGTGACCCTGATATATTATCTACAGTGTTTGAAAGTAAACTGGGTAAGAAGTCTAGCAAGTTTACTGCAGCAATTACAGAAAAGATACTTACACGGACTAACATCTCTGTATCTGTTTCGACTTCTGTTTTCTAGATATTTTGCAACTCTGTGAGGGTAGTCGCTGGATTTATGTCGAATTTCCTTTAAAAGACAAAACAAAATTGCAATTTACCTATAGCCAATTAGCTAATTAGTTTTCTACACATCCTACTGTAAAACTTAAGGCTAATTATTAGTCAAGGTTATTAATAATTAACATATTTAAACCAACCTTTACTACACCTAGTACTATTTTCACTCAGAAAACATGTGTCTCATTCTTGGCAAGGCTGCTGCCATTTCTATCTTCCCACTGTAGGCTAACACCACCAAGCTCACATAAGCACAACTTCCTAAGCAAGTGATGTAGAAGGAAGAGAGGGGAAAAAAATGTATATAGTTATTATGCTTAGAGTTTACCTCAGCTATTATCTCCCACAGTAACAAGAGGCTCACATAAAACTAAAAGCAGTATACTGCTAGCTCCTTGACACTATCTGGCAACACAACCCCCCTCAAAGGTAACCGAACTAGTTAATGATTTTTATGGCTGCTGTTAACAGCCACAGGATGGTTCCTGGTGGTTTGACAGTTCAACCCATACAGCAGTAGTTAAACATGACCCAATATGAAGGAACAATTCCAGACTCACAGTATCGGTGTGAAATCATAGCCTGCTTCTCCCTGGTTATTAATGCCATCCTTTCAATAATCTGCCTTTGGAAGTATTCAAATGTGCTCCTTTACACACTATTTTAAGGAGCACCCTGTTCACATACTCTGAATGTTCAGTTTCATTAATATTTTGCCTCTGAGTGTATCTTTTCCACAACCTCACTAAGATATACAGATTTACCTTATGCAGACAACAGAAAACACAGAACGGATGCTACTGATGAGCTGCCTCCGATGGACTGAACCACCCCTTTATATCTCTGTACTGATGCCACCTCACCAAACATACTGAACAATATAAAATTAGCTATTTTATTTTGAATTCTCCTTTTGTTTTTAGATGATGTTGCCACATGTGAGCATTATGTCCCAAAGAGCTTTTAAACTCCTCTTTACAGCTAAGCAGTCTTTGGCCTTCTCTGTTTCCAGAGTCTTCTCAAACTTCCTGAACAGTCTATATAGTTCCAGACACTGAACAAAGCCAAAAAGAACTTCAGTGGAAATCTAACATACGTAAGGAAGCTTGATTTTTTTAGCATCTGGTGTGTGACATTACTTAAGTGCAGTGCCAACCTGTAAAGAAGCTAAACACCAACGTGGAACAGCAACTGTCGAGCACCAATGCTCTACACAGCTGTATGAAAATCTCTTAATCTATTAGACAATAAAGTTTTTTTTATTTTGGTACAGCACACTGGAACTTGTTTTCTCCTCTAGGTTATATGGCTTACAAGCTTTGGGAGCAACCACATGCACGTTGAATAAAGCCATCTGGCAGGCATTTGCAAGCAAGTTCCCATGAAATGTAAATTTTGTATTACTTCATAACAGGATTCAACATATTTGGTTTTTAACACCAGCACCCTCTGTGCATACAGAAACAGACCTGCAATTTGGTCAAGAAATATTGAAACAGATAGAAACATTACTGGACGAGGGGGGCAGGGGGAGGTGAGGGGTGGGTGTTGCTAAGAACAATTAAACCTAAGGGAGTTTAATGACTTGTTCTAGAATCAGTTTTCCCACATTTGATCCAGCCATCACAAACTGGAGAAACAAACCCGATGCCAGATGTAACCTAAGGCACATTACACACGAAAAACCTGAATTGAAAAAAAAAAAAGAAAGCAAAACAGTATTATTTATTCAGCCATTAATTCAGATAGGATAGGAACTCTGGGAGTCAGTCAAGTATTCCAAGCTTCATGGGATTTCACCGCTGAAGGGCAAATATACAAAACAGGCCTCAGGAAGAATAAAAAAACCCTAACACTCAACTTGTCTTCAGAGAAACTTACACTTCCCAGGGGGAGTATGTATGTTCCTTATAAAAACTGTGGTAAGAAAATACCTTCCTAAACAATAACTCAGTGTAAAAACAAGCAGTTGGCAATTAGAGTATTTTCTACAAGTTTGTGCTATTTTAAAACATCATCTGCTACTTTCTCTTCACATTTTTAAGCAGACGAGTATCCTCTGGTCTTAAAAGAAGTGTGTTAAGTACCCTGAAAAAGTACTGAGTTTGCAAGGCCTACGAAACCAGGGAAACAAAATTCTAACTCAAAAAATCGTCATTGAAAGGCATTTTACAACATAGCTGTAGTAAAATTAGGACGTCTCTATGTGAAGTTTAGCAGAACGGAATACACAATTTTCAATTTATTTTTCCAAGTACAACTACGTAATATGAAAATGACTTGGGAAAGCTGACTTGTTCAGCCTGCATATACCAGATGTGATCTGTGCGTGCTCTTCTACCTCATGAAAAATACTGGCTGCAGAATTCCTCTCTTATGCTTTTATCTCACGAACTTCGCACACTTCCTGCTGTTCCCTGTTAAAATTCAAACCACAGCTCAGTTACCTGTCTAGAAATAATGTATTTGAAACGCGTGTAAGTCAAACACACCGCTAATTTAACAGATAAAAAGCACAACTTAAAGGTAGCAAAGAGAACTTTCGTTTTGGGCTGCTTTTTCTCATTTGTGACACAGGACTGTAAATACACACTGGCTCGAGGAACCGGTCTACAAATTAAGTCTACAAATGAAGTCTGTTTTATGGAACTGACTTGTTAACTGATTTGTTAGATATTCGCAATCTCCTCGTTGTCTAGAGAAGAAAGGGCAGGCAGCGTTATTTCCGAGAGAGAATCGCGCGGGCCAGCGAAGGGAGCGGGCGGGGGAGGGAGAACAGCGGGTGCCCGAGGAGCCGCCGCGACCCCAAGGGGGATGGCAAGCCTTGGCCGGGTGGGTATCATCCGGTATAACTTTCCATCCTCCCTGGAAACCGCGAGGAAAACGCTCTGGCCCGGCTGGGAGCCAGCCGCCGGATTGAGCCCTCACCGCCTCAGCC